AAACAATACATTTTTTATGTCTTTAAATATGAGCCATAAAAAAATCTTATAATTACATATTTAAATGTTTTGCTGGTAAAAATATGCCCTATATACCTGTGAGAAACAAAATTCACTTAAAAAAATTAATAAAAATATTAACTTTTATGCTGAATATTAACAACAAAATTCTAATTAATTAAATTGCCTTTCACTCAACAGCCATTTATTAAGGGTTTCATACATAATAGACACTGGGGATATAATGTAGAATAAAGTATCCACCCAAATTTCATGAGTTCTGAATCTTGAGAAGGAGACCGAAAAAAAAGAGTTAAGTTATAATAAGTCCTAAGTGAGGACACAGCAAGAAAGTGGTGCAACCAGAGGATGGAAGCTTCACCAGAAACCACCTTGATCTTGGACCTCACATCTCCAAAACTTTGAAAAAGCAAATTTCTATTGTATAAGCCATCTGCCCTATGGTATTTCTATTATGGCAGCCTAAGATGACTAAAACATTAACCAAAGTACTTTCCCCTTTTGACCATAAGTCTTCTTACTGTAGACTGGAGAGGCTACACTAGATATCTTCTTATGCTAAATTCTAAGTTTGTATGGACAGAATCCACATCATTTCAGCTAAATTAGACAATGTGAAATTTTTGAAGTATATGAGATTTTTTTTCCTTAGGTTTTTATAGATTTTCTCTTGGATTATATATTTACAAATTTTACTGCCATAGACAGGAGTCATTTTGTTTATTTTTAGGGAGGGTACCATGGATTGAACCCAGGGGTGCTTAACCACCGAGACACATCTTCAACCCTTTTTTGTATTTTATTTAAAGACAGAGTCTCATTAAGTTGTTTAGGGCTTCACTAAATTCCTGAGGCTGGCATTGAACTTGAGATCCACCTGCCTCACCCTCCTGAACCACTGGGATTACAGCCATGCATCACTGCACCTGGCTATTTTTCTTTACAAATCATTTTTTTTTCTGGTAACTAATCTTCCATATCACAAAGGAGGTAAACTTATTTTACTTCCCCCTCTTATAAGTTCTACAGAGAGGTAATGGATGTATCTTTATATATTTTGGGTGATGCCTATAATACTCTGACACTAATACCATGAGATGGCCTTCAGGTTATAGAGCCTTTACTTTCACAATCTATGTAAATGGTGAATATTAGAAATACAGCGCAATTACATTATCATGTTAATCCTAATGACTTAAACATATCTAAAACTTTCTCCATAGTGAACATACATGTTTTCTTTGGAGTTCTTCAATGATATATTTCACATTTGTATGTAAGCATACCATTGTGCTGTATCATAATTTTTGTGTTTTGCTTAGTAGAATGCCTAGAAAGTCACAATACTAGTGAAAGAGTTTCAGAAGTCTCTGAACAGTATACTAAACAAAGATTTTTGGCATTTTAAAGTTATTAAGTGAGCTGTGATTTTTCCCCAAAATAGCCAAGATATCCAAACTAGTATACAAAAGACTAAAAATTTTACAACTTGCCTACCATGTTATTACTTGTTTCCAACATAAACCCAATATTCCAGGCAGTGTGGTTTTCTAATTCATTCTCATATATATCATGATTACTCCTAGTTGTGTATCATCATTAAAAAGAACTAGCATTTGTTTAACATTATAATTTCTCAATGTATTCTATCATAAATTCATTTTATTTGACCTGAAAACAACCACATGAAAATAAACAGGGGTCAGTGAATTTCCTCATGTGCAGATGAAGAAACTGAGAGTCAGAGTGGGGAATAGCCTTAGCCATGAATGTTTGGCTGATAATTGCCAAAGTAGTAACTAAAATGTGCTTAGTTTCTAAGCATGTGGCACTTTCCTCTTGGGTAGAGCCATGGCTTTTCTTCTTTTACCCTAATACTTTCTACTCTTCAAGATCTTTCTATCTCAATTTTCTAACATCATTCCTCTGAACTCCTAATCTGAGTGATCATTAATTTTTGCAGTTATTGACAGTGTGCCTTGAGATGTCACATGATATTTTCTATGTATATTATTTAACTGTTTGCATGCTCCTGGTACACAAACCCATCAGTTTTGATTTTTCTTTGTGTGTCTGTGCCTGCCTGATACCCCTTCAAATTTGGTATCCCTATCTTTGGCAAGAGTATTCTGTAGGTCAAGATCTGTCTGCCATTACAGGTAGTCTTGGTAGCACTGTTACTCAAGGTTCTTTGCTCTCCCCTTGGACAAGCATTCTAGGTTAATTACAGTTTAATTACAATATAAATGATCAGGGAAAGGAAAAGAAAATGGCTGGGGTTCTTACCTCCCAAAGGCAACATTCTTAAAAGATTTTCCTTCATTACTGCTACCTGAATTCTCTAGGCTGCCACAATTGGTATTCTTTTTAAAGGCCAACTTCTTCAGCTTTACCCCAGTTTCTAGCTGAGCTACCTCATATTCTTCCAGCAAATTCTATGTTTACCTTGAATCCAGCAGAGTCACTTTCTGTTGTATGCAAAGATCCTTATATAAAATACCTACAAAGCTTAGCACTTAGGGAGTGCTCACTATTTTTAAATGCTTTGTTCTTATACAGATTGTATATGCTATTAAATCTTGAAAACAAAAATAACAAATGTCTCTGAAGTACAGCTTTGCTATTGGTTAGAATTTTAATAACCAACAGGCAAGTACAAGGCAAGCTAACATGTAGAACTCATCTCCATTGAAATGATTTTTATTACAGTCCAACACACTTGTTTGGTAACTCACAAAGTGATAATTCACTGCTGAAATTAACAAAGCATTTTGTGGTGAGGGTGGTACTTAGAGTAATGATATCCTTTAAGTGTTATTTGACATTTTGGTTAACCCATTTGTTTTCCTTTTCTTCCCAAATATCATAGCAGCCAATTGTGACCATCTGAATTTTTTATATTACCTTACTCTTAAGACATATCTGATAAGTTTAACTGTTCATATCAGGACTCCTTTTTAACTAGGAAAATATTTTAATGTACATTTTGGCTTCTAAGAAAAATTTAGGTGAGTAAACACTAAACAGGGAATTCTCCCCGCTATTTTATACATAAAAAAGAAAAATCAACCAAGTAACCATTCATGACATAAATGAAATTTAGCAGCAATTCTAGCTAATAATAAATTTGTAGTTAATTCCATTTTGTACATATTATAGACCTAAGCTCTTTCTATGTACTTCAGTAATTTTTTTGTCATTTTTAGATATCTATATCTATGCAGAATCATTTATATTCTAGGAATATAACTTTAATTGTATAAGTTATGGGAATATCATTTTTGTATATGACATTTTGCTTTATTAATGACAACTATTTCCCTATGATTATTTACCAGAAGATAAAAATTCTCCTGAAAAGTGGGAGGGGAAATACTTTAAAACCTTCACTTCTTTATCTTTTAGAACACCTATTACTACATGATAGTATTTCCCACAAGATTATTTTTATATTTTATTTGAAGTTGGCAAAAATCTTTGTGCTGAATCCTTTGAGCATACCTCTAGTGATAGATGTCAGATCAGCATTGTGTGGAAGAACTTTTATTTGACAGGTTGATGACAGGAAGAAGCCTTTCTCCCAAACATAAGATGTAACTATAAAACCTTTCTTGAGATTAATGTAATCTTTTGTTCCTATGCATAAAGGACTTATACATTCTTGCTTCAAAGAAATAAGTCCATGTAATTAATTTGAATACAGTAAAATCAAAAGAGTTGAAAATAAAGGAATGTATTTGTTCATATTAGAATAGTTCAAGATATTTTATGTGAATTAAATGTGAAATAGACATCTAATATAAATCTTTAATGATAATGTATGTTATTTTTATAGGCATCACCAAAGATCATTTTGAATTTACTCACTATGCATTTGAAATATACTGTAACCAAGATGTATCTTGGTAAGGTATGACTTCATTAGTATCAGGCAATATGGCAGCAAGATATAATGAGAAAGTGCTAAAAATAGTTTTACCTCAAATCCAGCTATGATTTACTCTAATTTATTATGAACACTGCCTTATTCCTCCTCTGGTATTATCAAATAATTCTGCATGCCCTCAACTATCACAAGAAGAAGATATACTTTTTAAAACAAAAATTGGCATTTGCAAATAATCTCTATTTTTTTTCTTATACCATTCATAAATGTATGAGGAGTAAAGAGATAAAATTTCATTATATATCTAATTATCTATACATGTTCATCTTTATGTCTGAGTTAGAATTATCAGGATCAAATCTTTATTGACAGATATTACAATATCATTCTATTGATATGTAATACAAATCTACTTAATGTATGAACACAAAAGAAATTCATATCCATTCCGAGGGATTCTTGACATAATGTACTTCAGGAACTAACCAAAATTCTGCAATGTTTTCGGATGTGAGAAGGAAAAAAAGTGAAAGCATGGTGAGATGTCAAAGATAGATTGCTTGTTTTCAGATTTATTTTCATCTCTAGCTTTCTTCTAGGCCTTCACCCCTGAATCAGTTCAGTTTTCTCTCTGTAACAGACAGATCTTTTTCTTGAACAAGGTGCTTTGCCCCAGCCTCAAAATAGACACAGGCAATTACTTTTGGGCTTCTCTGTTTCTTTGTTTACTTTTCACAAAAATTCAGTCTGAAAAATAATATTATGAAATGGCCCAATCAAAATAGTGAAGACGACTATCACTTGATTTGTTTTTTAATCTTTGAAGGTAATGCACATAAAAACCAGTGTAAACCCAGTAATACAACAGTCATCAAATATAGTGATATTTTCTTAAAAGTAGAAACAGTGAAGCATATTCAAGAAGAAATAATATTTTTAAACAGTTGTTTGTTTTCATTGAGATAGAATTTGCATACCATAAATTTCACTCTCAATGCATGTAACTTTGCAGATATTCGGTATTTACATTTAGATTAACCTTCATATCTACAAGATTATTATTATAAATTAGCATGGTAAAATGTCATCTTACCTTACAAAGGAAGTTGATCTTAAATCCCAAAGACTGGGCATTTCTTGACCCTGAGTTCATGTAGTTTCCAACCAAAAGAACTAACTCTAAAAGTCTATTAAAGCTTTCACTTTTCTTCACTTCTTCACAAGCAAGAGTTACAGCTATGATGCTTGGTTTGATGTTGTTTACGTGTTCTTCAAATGTGAGCTTGAAAAGAATGCTATTGAGACGAGGCCGTAACATTTTCACTGAGCTCATCTGTAAGATAAGGAATACTCTATGAGAACATACATTGAAAGGCTGTTATTTTATCTCTTTAGTGGGGAAAATTTCATAGACAATATTGTAAATGCCTACATTAAAGCAAATTGTCCCTGGGTATTCAAAAATATTATTTCTGTTTGCTTTAAACATTTCAAAGGAAAATTGTAACAAAGTTTCAATAACAGTTTCTTATTCATCTTTTAAAAATAAAATAAATCATTCTGATAGCATTAATACATTATTATTGAAGCTGAATAGTTGCTATATGACAATTGCATAATGATAAGCTATCTATAGAATTCAAGCTGCCCAAAAATATACCTCAGGTGAACTAGGGAAATTTATAAATAGGAAATTGAATTGAGTGAATAGTTGGGCCACAGATAATAGGTATACATGATGACAGAAAATATTAGTGAAACATTTCCTAAGAAATTACCTATTACTATGCAGTTTGAAATCAGACACTCAGCTCTGATTGAGCATTTAATAATTTTAAATGTAAGATTTCTATTCATAAAATACATTAAATATTTATATATGTTCTAAGGAATTTCACCTATGTGACAGATGTTGATGCTAAATAATTAGGTATGATAAAATCACATGAACTTACTTTCAAGTAAATTCTTTAAGAATTCTATGTTCTTTCTTCAAAAGAGTTTCACTTTAGTTTTAATTAATTGTTTAAGATTATTGGTGCACATTCTAAATTATCTATGGCATAGCTTCTACGTAAATAATTATTTTTAATTTTTAACTTGCTATAGCTCCAAATTATTTCACTAGTTTTTATTATAAACAAATTCTGGAAGAGAGGTTGGTGGGGAGTAGACACCATATAAATATTTATCTACATACACACAATGAACAGAAATTATTAACCATCCTAATTATATTTGTTTTATAGTTATAGCTTATTTTCTTAAATACAAATTATGAGCACAGCTTAAGCACATGAAATAATCTGAAAATACTTAGACAAGATAAATGAAAGTCTTTAAACTGTAAAGTACCTTCAAAACCAGCAAATGAGCTGGTGGGTAGACTATAGTGTTTAATGAAAGCTTCACTATAGAGGGAAAATAAATGGACACATATATACATATGCATGTGTATATATTTGTGTGTATGCATATGCCCATACACACACTTAGAACTAAAGTCAAGAGAAATAGGTAGAGAGAGAGAATAGTATAAGAAAAAGTTTATGGGCTAGGCATATATGAGCTTTACAAATAGGTGCAGAAATATGGATCAAAGTATTTGAAGATCTCATATAAAGGCCAAGAAATTGGAAACTAATCACATCAAAGGCTATGTATCTGTTAATGTTCAAATTATTTTATCTAGGAATCTGAGATTCAATATGTATTTTTCCCTTCATATCTGACTCTACCACTGTTTCCAAATCTCTTTCCACTTTACTTTTATTTTCCTTTCACTAGTAAATGGTCATTACTAGAAAAAAAGCATGTTTTCTATCATTTTATATGTTTAGGGAATAGTTAGCTAGTCTCCTTGATGGCTGAAAAAGCCATGCATATACTTGACCAGCTGCTAATCACCATGGAAGTGTTCTCCTGACCATGCTTAGTAGGGATTCAGTTCACCAATGTGCCTTTGTTCCCAGATCAACAAGAAACATAAGCCTTACTTAGATGTGCAGAAACGTTTAGTCTTGTTTATGTTTTAATACCATATGTCTTCATTTATGTTATTATCCTTACTGGGCTTTGTATTTAAATCCTTGCCCTATAAGGTCAGATTATGAATTTGATCTTTATTTTTTAATAGTAGCTCCTACTGCAATAACATGACCAAAACTATACTAAGAATAGTAACAATAGTAATGGCAATTAACATTTATTGAGTACTTTATTACAGGCATTCTTCTATACATGTATGACACATGTATAAATCTGTTATGGTTTGGATATTAGGTGTCCCCCAAAAAATTCATGTGTGAGATAATGCAAGAATATTCATTGGTGAAATGATCATATTATGAGAGCTAGAATGGAATCAGATATGGATTAACAGGGTGGAAATAGCTGGAAGGTGGAGTATGGTTGGAGGAGCTAGGTCAGTGAGGATGTGTCTTTGGGGTTTACATTTTATCCCTGGTGAGCAAAGCTCTATTTTTCCTAGTTGCTGTACTTTGATCTGCTTTCATCTGCCATGCTTTTATGCCTTGATATTCTATGGTATCTTGGGCTCAGAGCTCTAAAACCATGAGCCAAAGTAAATTCTTCCTCCTCTATGTTGTTCTTGTCAGTTCTTTGGGTCACAGTGATAAAAAAAAGCTTATTAAAACTTAATTGTTTTGATTCAGCATATAATGCTTGGAGAAATTATCATCATCATCATCATCATTATTATCATCCATCATTGTAAAGATTAGGAAATGTCAAATTGTGTGTTGGAGAACTAGAGATTTGATCATACACATCCATGCTACAGAAGCCAGACTCAACCACTACATCACACTGCCTCTTAAGTCTTATTAGGAAAGAGAGACCAGCAGCAGGGAGACCATCAATAAAGTATCAAAATGGCTTGAGAAACAGTTAATAAGGAAGAATGCTGACAGTAGGCAGAAAAAGGATTGGACTGATACAAGAGTCAAAAATCAATGGGACTTAGCAATTGACCATGTACAGAAGAAGGAAGTCAAAGATGGCTCCAAGGATTTAAGTTAGCTATGAGGCAGAACAATATGGGCATTAATTAAGGCAGAAGGTGAGGCTGATTTGGTGTTTTATTACTTGGCTTTTGTATCAGAGAATGAATGTAAGTGAATTTCCTTCTCATGATCTCATGGTATCTACACTCCATTAAACAAAGACTGCACTTTGAGAAGTTCCAAGCACAGAGTCTTGCATATGTTAGACATTCAAATATTTGCTGATTTTAGCAGCACTCCTCAGCTGACTAGCCATTTTCCAGATCTTCTCCCAAGAGGAAGAATTATTGAACAAAATTAAGAGCAGATGGAAATATTTTACCCCCGCCCCCACAAATACCTCCAATTATGATGTCAAAACAGGAATGCAAGGGAATTATCATTGCTAAACTGCTAGCACTGGATATTAATCTGTTATCAATCACCCTGTTTTTAGGAATAAATGGTATATAACAAGGGAGGCCAGAGCTGCCTTTGGATCTGATAAATCATTCTTCGTTCATTCATTCCCCTACAAGAAGGTTTAATACATGGCAGATGATAAATATGATAGGTGCTTTAAAAATAAATTATTGTAAAATTAATGAATAAATGAAACTCCCCATTCACACAAATAAAAACTACAATATCAACAAAATGCTGGATTAAGAAGATGCATAGTTTGAACAGGTAAAATAGAAAGACAGGTAAGGAAGGAGGAGGTATCTTATGCAAGGTCATATGCTACAAGGCAGGTCATTCCAACAATACTGCCCAGGACAACAATAACTCACATTTGGAATGCCACATTTTTAAGGATATATTTTGAGAGAGATTTTTTTTTACCTAACCTCAGGAGGGAAAAGTATAAATTCCAGACCTATGATGTACGATGCCATGGAAGAAATAGGGACTTCTGAATTACAGAGATATGAGATTGAACTACAGTTCAATCACTTTCTAACTGTGTGGCCTAGTGTAAGTTCTCTAATGTTTTAGAGTCTTTACTTCCTTATCAGCAAAATATATTCATTAAATATTCTATGCAAGTTGTAGAAACACTTAAATGAGATACTATGTGTAAGGCTTCTTTTCATACTTACTGAAACAATGTAAGTACTATACACAAATGGCTATTGTTGTCCTCACCATCTTTATTTCTTCTCAGAAAGTTAAGGAAATATGACTCCTAATTGTTCTCTCAAACCTGAGGGAAAGTTCCTCTCACCCATAATTTCAGAAAGGGTGCTTCCAGAGTCCACTGAACAACACAGCTTATTATCTTTAAACACACTACAAAAATTGTGCTATACTCTACTGAGCCATAATTAATTCATAATATACATCTACCATTTGAAATATTATCTTTGAAAATGTGTTCTTATAAAATCAAGAGACTTCAAGGAGGTGAAGCTATATGGGTATATCTCTTAATACAAGCAACAAATCAGTATGTATTGATCAGATCAAGAGAATTTTTGCAATCAAAAATATGCATTTTTATGATCAGACCAGTGTCTGATATATAATAGACAAACTTCCATCAAAAAATTTGGTTATGTAAGGAAATATCTTGGTCAATCAAGCATGGGAAAAAATAGGAAGCATTGAGTTATATCCCCAGCTATTATATATAATTATTAAAAGGCTCATGTCTCCGAAAGGCACTTGAATACACCTAAGTGATATAAGTAAATAAAACAAAAAATCTGCTGAAATGTGTGCTTCTTTTGCATTGTGGTCCCTGGCAGCACTTTAGTTGACTGGCATTCTTTGTTTTATAATTCATTCCTTGAAGTGCTTATGGGAAGCTGACCAGGGTGTTGTATTACGTAGGGGATTTATTTGTATTACGAGGTACTTATCTATCAAATCACATCAAGCAACTCTCATTTCTTTAGCTGATCTGCACTATATATATATTTTTAAAGTGCATTGACAGCTTTAGTGAGAGCAGTTACAACTGGGTTATTTCCCCAAAGAGTTAGACACAGTTTTGTTTATATAATTTGAATTTTATGTACTTCATACCTATACAGTTGGTGAATATTGATCTACTACCAAACTACCAAAAGAATTCAAAGAAACAGAAAAAAATGGCAAGAGTACAAAAATTATGTGTGAGTGCACAGATCGCTATATGTCACATCTGCGTCATGTGTGACCTTTGGAGTTATTTCTATCACTTTTCCTTTTGCACTGCTAAGAAACACACCCTTGGGCTGGAGTTGTGGCTCAGTGGTAGAGTGCTTGACTAGCATGTGTGAGGCCCTGGGTTCAGTCCCCAGCACCATATAAAAATAGGCAAAATAAAGACATTGTATCCAAC